ATTTTTTATTACTTTTTTTTAGTTATCAATTTAAAATAATATCAAATTTAGCGCAAATCACCTTAATGACGTAAAATCTATTAAGTTCCTGTTCGTCATAAATACCAACAAATTGTAGCATTGGTGCAATCCATCACACTCTTACATAATTCGAATATTTAAGCGTACTATTTATGCTTTAACCAATTTATAATTTCATCTGATAAAAATAAGATTGATTGTGGTGAAAATTAATATTATATTTTTGAGAATTTGAAAACAACCTGTACCTGACAGTAATGTCATAAATCTGCGAGCACTTAGCCTATACTTGCTCATACTATATAACATTGTTCACCATGTGGTGAAAAGAACTAGTTGACTACTTACAACTAGTGTCAGACTGGATCGGAATGGATCGGACTATGCTAGTATGAGGTTGGAGTTTTTATGAAATCAACACATGAGAATAGACTGAGGACTTAGTAAACCACAGTCCACAGTTCTATTTTTACTTCTAGATTATGATCCGATTTGGCCGATAGGTGACATTACATTCGAATCAGGCTACAAACGTATGTATTGGCCGAATCGGTAGGAACGTATTTACATGAAAACGACAAACAACTATATATACATTGGCAAGGCATTAAAAACTAATCGACGACTGACATCGCTGAAATATTCACTAGCCTGAGATCTGTCTATATATTTCCTATATTTACTGTTTATTCCTACTATTTGAATGCCCATAAATTAAGACCTAGAAACAATTTACATACCAGAATTCCGGCTTCTGTGTTAGATCGGCCGTAAATTAAATTTAAAGAATATGTGACGAGATTTGGGAGTTCAGATTGGAGCCAAATATCTGTTAAACAGATGAGTATCGACTCACTTAAAAGACTCGGCCGAATACACCGGATCGCATATAGGACAAATAAATACTACTATTAATACGGATTTCAGTTTCGCTTGTTTCTATTGGCTTATATAGGACAGATTTTTCATTGACCGATCTCTACAATTGGTCTACTATACTTTCACTTGATAATTAACATCTAAACTACTTCTTTTCAAACTAGTCTCTGGCTTCTTCGTATGTTACTTTAACACAGATATTACTAAATATGCGTTGTCAAAATATATTTACCAAAAATTTTAATAAATAGCAGACGGTAAAGTCATATGCCTCACATAACTAGCTACATTTGCTTTATGCGCTGTCTGATGAGCCAGCCGTTGCGTACCGTCGGAAAAAACCTGAAGCGTGACAGATAAACAAATAATTCAATAATGACGTCAATGAGGAAAAAAAGCAAAAGTGAGATAATTAAAAAAAATGATGATCGAATACCGCAAATGAAAAGAAATAAAAACAGCAACTAAAAAAGTGGGCAAAGCAAGTAAATAACGTTTCATTCAAAAATATTCACAAATCAAATATGGCGCAAAAATTGCTGCTGAATGAAAATTCAAATAAAGAAAACTACAGAAAGTGCGTGTAAACAACAAAAACGCATGTTGCCATATGCGCAAAAATAATAACTCACAAAGGCTGGAAATATTAAAAAAAAAAAATTGCAAAACGGTGAAAAATACAAATATCGGAAAAGGAAAAAAAAAAACGAATTTTGAGAAAATAAACAAACTTTTGTGTGAAATGAAGGAAAATATGTTGAAAACAAAAAAATTAAAAAAAAAAAAACATATCTTGTGATAAAAATTAATATTTTGGTGAAGTGCGGTTTTCTGTCTAAACAAATGTATTTCTAAAATTATAATCTTTATTTTCGAAACTTTCTTGATTTGTTTATTCCAAATCTCCTTTGCCTGCATTGTTCGCATACCAAAATGGGGTTATTTATGTTCGCCGTCCAAATGAATGCTTTAAATTCTTTTTGTTTTTATTTGAAAAATGTTTTTTAATACCTAATTTTATTTGTTTATATACAGTCATATAAATACCTAAATGTTACGTCATTCAAAAATGTGGTTCACTGCAGTCGCGCCTCAAAAGCACTCACATCTTCAACGTCATTGATTATTTTTTTAGCTTTGTAATTTTTTTTGCTCACTAACTTTTGTTTTTTATCTTTTATTTTTATGTTATACTTTTTAACAAGACAGGATGCGTATATTATTATTAGTGCTATTCGCATATTGAACTATTTTGTTTATTTTATTAGCGTAAACAAATGTGCTACACTTCGCCCACGGCCTTGATAGTAAACAATGAAGATATTGTAATCTTAGAAAAAAACAGCAGAAAAAACAGTGCGTAGTTTCGTCTTAGTGTTAAAAAATAAGAATCCAACAAGTATCTGCGCATTTTTTGCGAACAAAAAATAAAAATACTAAAGTCTTACAAATTTTCTTTGATGAGACTTTTAATATATTATTAACTAATAAATTACTTAATAATGCGAAACCTAAGCCCAATAAACATGTAATTTGGGCTATATAAATAAATTTATAATAAATTCAGTAAAATATTGTTTCCGATGTTAGGTTAGGTAAGGTTCTGCTTGAGGCTGATCACTCAACTATCAGCAATCGGCAAATTGACGTGAACCCAATAGAAATCCGTTTTGGCTACAACAATTAAAGATGGACCTTGCTGAGAGCGAAGAGTTCATGCGATTGTATACCTACTGGAAGTTGATCAATGCTTGCTAAGCCATCACAAAAATTCAACAGAAAATATTTCAAATACAAACAACCTGGTATCTAGTCGTGGGTCAAGTCTCTCCTCCTCTCTATGAAAAAAAAAGACAGCATAGTTAGAGATATTCCTCAGTCGAAAATTCTTGAAAATCGAACATCTGGCTATAACTGCAACTGTACGGAATTCTGTATTATTTCAAAAATACTCTTACTTCCAAAAAAAAAAAAAAAAAAAAAAAAAAAAAAAAAAAAAAAAAAAAAAAAAAAAAAAACTTTGCTCTATTGTGACGCATCGATCTCACGTTATTTTGTATGATTTCGAAATCATACTGAATACTTCAACAACCAATATATTATATTATATATAATTTAAAGATCTTTCAAAACCGAAATACGTGTATATTGGTGTTAAATCACATACATATGTATATGTACAGCGGGTGGAAATAGAAAATATGTACAAGAAGAATTTGGGGGGTAAATAATTTCAAATATATTATACTATGAAGTTGAAATATGGTTGAACTTGTTTTTTGCAATATTTCTATAAATAAGCATTCATATTTTTAAAAACGAACTCATATTTTTCACTAAATTTTGAGGTATTATTCTCGCGCGCACATATTAAAAAAAAAAATTAAAATTCTTCTACATACATCAAAATTTCCTCGACTACTATATATACATATTATATATATATACACAACGATCTATAAATACGCGAATAAAAACACTTAGATATTTTATTAATAACACTTTTGGCAGCTAGCAAAGCAAATTGAAGTGTCGACAACAAGGTACTTAATGAGCGAAAAACGCATTAATAAAATGCACTTCGAAATGTTGTTTGTGAACAGAAAGCTATAAACAATTTATAGAAGAATGCTTGACAATTTTCTTATAAATAATATATTTTTGAAATATTTTCAGGAAAATTTAAAGTTAATGTTAATGTTAATGTTATTAATGTTAATGTTAATGATAATGTTAATGATAATGTTAATGTTAATGTTAATGTTAATGTTAATGTTAATGTTAATGTTAATGTTAATGTTAATGTTAATGTTAATGTTAATGTTAATGTTAATGT